TCTTTCACATGGCTGATGTTCATCTTCCAGGTCATATCTTTGGTCACCTCAACAAGAGGAAATCACTGGTTAGTCGACATAAGTAGGCCCTCCTCCTTTTTCCCATGATTTTTTTTTTTTTTTAAACCTCAGGATCCTGTTAGATTCCCTCAGAGCATTGCTTAAGATGAATAATTAATGATTTATCAGTTTATTGCCTGGTTGTATGACCTTAAAGCCCTATCAGAAGGAGAGTTCTATACAGGACATTTCTCTGAAAGTTATATAGTTCAGCCATTGGTGAGCATTTGTTGAATGAATGTCCAAAATTTGTCTTTTTTCATGAAAGATGTATATCATTGCTAAAGAGGAATCAGCTTTACATACACAAAATTGGTAAGAGTCTAGATTGTTAAGACATCATCTTTTTTTCCCTCATTAAAAAAACAACACAACAAAAAAACCCCTCTAAATCAGTATATAGATAGGATGTGGTAAAGAGATTAACACTTTTAAGTTACAAGTCAGGCCCAGTTATTGAAAAATTATTTAGAATTATCATCAGAAACAAGTCTTTGCCTCCAAAGATAATCCTTTGAGTTATTTATGCTGTGTTCTCTGTGTTTGCTTTAGGTCTACAAAAACACTTCTTTTTTCTAACTCAAAGACTAAAATTTGAGAGCTGGTGATGGAAAATTATTGTCAGATTTACTTGAGCTCAGAAGCAAAATTTTAGATACTTGTTCAAGACTTATCTTATTCACTGAAGCGTAATACCTTGACATGATTAAAAGCCTCCAGTGACTAATTCCCACATGAATTTTCTAAGTCATTCTTTTATTTCAGAAATATTTTGGAATCTCTTAAAGGTGTAGATTGGGACCAAACAAAATGAATAATTACTTAGAATTTCAGTTTCTAAGACCTTCAGTAGAATGAGTTAGATTTTCAGATTCAGATAAGTAAATACTTAAGTATTATTCAATTGCATCTTTTTCTGTTGACAAATGCAACTGATGGAAAATATGCTTGTAGATCATGTGTTCTACTTTCTTACCAAAATAAGTGAATTATAACAGGAATTCTATGGTTTGGAACAAAGACGAATTTGAATTAGGAAATTTAATTAAATATGGAGCAGTGGGGAAATTGTATATGAGGAGGTAAAGGGAACCAAAACTCTTACACTCTTGTAATGTGTGCAGTGTTTACAAAAACCTGCCAAATTTTTAATCCCTGTATACCATGGGCTAAAGCACAATATGAAAATTCAGCTTCTGTCTTAGTCATCTATTCATATACACTATATTAGCTTGGGACGTTAAAGAAATATTTTAGTAACACCGCAAGAATTGCAGCCAACAATCTTTTCCGGGTTATGTGCAAAGTAAACAGTGACTAGGAAGGAAACTTATTCAGTAAGAGAACTTTAAATTTTTATAACTATAACTTTTGGTGTAGGGGGAGGAAATGAAATGAAATTGCTGGGCTGTTAATGAATTCTGGCTTTATTTAGATATAGTATCTTTTCACCAAAAGTGTATGTTGGATATCATTTAGGATGGTAAGTTCCCAGAAAAATTAATAAGGGCCATACTAATTTGGACACAAAGAGTAAAAGAACTATTTGTGGACTGGAACATGGAATAGTTGCAAACCAAGAGAGGGAATCCTTTGAAGACAAGGAAGTTTCAACTCCTTTCTACTATGAAGAGGAGCCAATGGACAGATTCTGCACCAAGAGATGCTGCAACAGAAGAACTGAGGACTTTTGATATTCGGTCTTATTTTGTGTGTAGTTTTCTGAGGTAATTGTGTGTCTTCGTGCCCTCTCATGGTTTATCTGTGCCACTGCTTTTTCAGGCACAGAGTAGAACCTTCATTTAATTCTCTTAGTAAAGCATCTAGTGTTGTTGCCAAATGAATCATGAATAAATACCTTTAAAAATACCTAAAAATGTGAGAGGATCACTGGTTCTTTGTACGTCCATATTATTTTCTGAATCTTTCAAAATGTTGCTTATGTTTTCTCCTCAGGCTGTCATAGACCAATCTTGTAATATTCATTGTCACTCTTACAGCACTGTCCACTCTCAAGCTTTCAGGTTCTGTTAGAGCCACAGTCATCGTTTCCCTAGGGGCCTGCATACAATATAAAGAAACCAGATCAGAAGACCTGTGTATTTTATTTCTTCAGCTTTTCCACTCAGTACTTAATATTTTATTTTCCTTTTCATTGAGATAGGCATCATTGTGATAATTTTACAGTTATAGGCAAAACAAAAAACAAAAAACCCAAAATGTTCTAAATAGCCTAATTGATGGCAGATGATTTTTATCCCTGTACAGGCCTCTGACATTCTGAACTTTGGGACTGTGATTTTTTTTACACTTGCTATTCCCATTGCTTTTACCTTCACAGCTTACACCATGTCTAGGCATGTTTGTTTCCAATGAGAAGGGCTGGGAGGGAGTCAAGAAAATATTTGTCTCATAACCAAGAAGGAAATTGGCTTACACCCTGAAAACATATCACATCTGGATCCAGAGATAGAGGCAAAGTCACTACTGGGATCATATTTTATATATATATATATATATATATATATGGCCATATTTATTCAACCTTACGTCCCCAAACTGGAAGATAGCACAACAATGTGGTTGAGAGCACAGCTCCGGACTGTTCTGACAACTGAGATTTTAATTCTATCCCCACCACTTTCTATCTAGCTGACATTAGATTTATTTGTTAGTTTTAAAAATATGAGAGTCTATAGTCCTTAGAAAATATCATCCCTCTTGATTAATAATCTCCATCTCTCTACATCCCTATGAGCTGAGCCTTCACACCCATGCACTTTAACTTCACACCTCTTTTTATATTTTTCCCTCTACTAGGTTTAAAAGGAAACACACACACAGGTAGAAACAAAACAAAATAAAAACAATATAAAAAACTTAAAAGTGGAGTATGAAAGAAAATCTTGGTATATAGGAAAGAACCAAGTAAGTACTAAAACATAATTTGATACATGAAAAATTTTAAAGTCTTACTTTAAAAACCAAACCAGGTCAATGGAAAGAAGGAAGAATCTCATTCAAGAGAAATCCATGAGATGTAGTCTATGTGTTATAACTGGATTCTAAAGGGGAAAATCAGAAGGAAAAAAGAAGAAAGATGTGGAAGATAGTTATATGGTTGAATATTGAGCTTGTCCTAAGTTTAGATATGGTGATTGCAGATGGATAAGGGATAAAGAAAGATTCACATTAAAAAACTCAGCCATATTTTGTTGGTAAATTATCATATTACCTTGAGAAAATTTCATAGCCTTAAGATCTTAAATAGGAAGTATTTGTTATCTCCTTGCCTGAACATTAACTTGACTATTGAATAAATATTGATAAATAAATGATCTTAGAAATAACATAAATGCTTGAAACTGAGGTTCCCATTTTGATAATAGGTAATATGCCTCATAACTAATTATGTTTTTTGAAAAGTTCAGAAAAATTAATAAATGAATGCTTTTTGAAGAACGTATGTAAGTGATGAGTACTTTAATTTCTTTGAGGGCAACAAAAATAGTTCAATTTACTCATGCCTTAAAAATATTTTTTTTGGAGTCAGAGCATGGAAATAATCATAAGAAATTAAAAATGAAAATAAATCAAAACAACCAGTTTTATCCAATTAGACCAAATAAGTTATGAAATCACAGATATGAGAATAATAAATCTTATTCAGAAACTTCAGATATTTTTACTGATATTGGCAGCTTTTCTCAGTTCAAGATAGTTATGTAATAGGTGGGTTTTCATGCTGTGTGCTTGGTTTGACAATCTGTGCACTTTACTCCCCTTCTTACAGTGTGTCCTAAATAATTAAATTCTCAAAACAAAGCCAGAGTCTAGAAATGAGCACCTATTATTTAAGCAATAGGAAAATAGTCAAAAGTACAGACAATTTGAGTTTAATTTTTTTCTCATTGATGAAAGTAAATAGTTGTTTCAGTGTGTGTTTTTCTCATCCAGTGTTCAGAATTTTAATATTGAGTTACTTAGACTTATGAGAAGAAAAATGTATCCTGACATCCCTTTTTTTTTGATCTGTGATTTTTTTGTTGTTGTTGTTGTTAAACTGCTTAATCTGGGACTATGAGTTCACAAGCTAAGCATGTTCCTAGAAATGACTTTAATACCAAATTCTAGGTTCCAGAGAAAGATGTTTCATGTCTCACATTTCTCCCCAAATAGTATCTTAGTTCGTGGTCATGACATCTTTGACAATAGGTATGACAAAGGTTGTACTATTCTGATTTCATAGATGCAATAATCAGCACAGAAGCTAGCCAAAATTCCTCATCCTCAGGGCTTTTCCTACTAACCCAAAGAGAAAAGATACCCATTCTTATTGATCCAAGTTACTAGAAAATGCAGAGTCATGGTCCAGATCCAACCTCAGTAGACAATAAAGATGTCAAAGAGGAAGTAATTCAGAAGGCAGAGACCACTGACACTGATTCCTATCCATGTTCCTCACTGGACCAAGCCATTTACTTTCACCTGTAGATAGTGCTCAGCACGAAAAAAAGAAAGTTTATGGGATGCATAGTCAACTGGCAGTCCCCAGCTCAGCCTCCCCCAGATTTCTGCTAAAATACTTACAAAAACAGTAAAAAATAAGAAAATTCCTTAACATCAAACACTTGAAGTGGGCATCAATCAGTTTATTTCTAAGATCTGAGAGAAAAGTCCACTTGCCAGAAGACTTCTTTCACATTCTTTTGCTAGGAACAATTTTAACAGCCATGCATGAAAGTTTCTTCAGAAGGGACAATTTTTTCTATCCAAATATACACCAGCTGCCATCTTATTTTCTCTTGATGGAATTTTTTTTTTTTTTGTCTTTCAGGATATAATGTCTTCTTTAATCCCACTGATGGTGATGAATGTTATTATTTATATTTCCTCTTTTTTCTGATAAATTATGTTTATATATATTCTTTCTATAAGGTTCTGAGATGATATTCTTTTTGCATGATTTCCCCACAAAAGATCTGAGCTCTGTACCAAACAGAAAAGTGGGCACAGTTCCTCTTTTGAGGCACACTAGTTTTTCAGTCAACCAGAGTAGCTTCTCTCTTGCCTCTCTGACTCACCTGTTAGAAAACAATTGGGAAGACAATGGCTTAAGCAGTCATATTCTGAGGGACACACTGGGGACAGGGATAACATTTCTTCAGTAAAATATTTTGAAAGAAAGCAGAAATTCAGGTACCAAGAAGCATTGTTCTTATATGCTTTCATAGTTTTGCCACTGAGTATGAGGAAGATTATAAAACAGGGATTTCCAGATTAACAGATAAATACACATGTAATTTGCTAATTTTGTCAAATCTCCCCCATCTCAGGAGATGTATCATTTAACATTTACACCAGTATGCAGCCTTACAAAGTATTTTGTCATATTTTTAGATTTTTTTCCAATTAAGTGAGAAATGGTAACACAGGAGAGTTTTAATTTACATTTCTCTTATTTTGAATGAGATTGGTCCCCTTTTCCTATTATTAAGAGCCATTTACATATCCCCCCCCCCCCCCGTGAACTGTCTGCCTTACTAGCTAATTTATTTTATATGGCAGTGGAATTTTTTTAGGGGGAAAATCAATGACTTTTTTGGGACCCATCCAAGAACTGAAGTTATAGAACAAACTGCCACTGGACATTTAGAAAGACAGGGGATTCCAGAGAGTCACACCTGAATTCTGCTTATTTGGAGAAGAGCCACTAGAGCCATAAACTAATAGGACACTTATTAAATAGTAATGTTGATGAATTGTTAAATTCCTCACTGTTGTGGCTTATACCTCCAGGAGCCATAGGCCATCCTCACCTTGAAGATTTGAGAAAGAGCTTCTCCTGGCCCTGGCAAAGCAAGGGAGAGAGTAATTATTGTCAAATGGGCCCAAAGAGTTCTCCATGAGAAAGGGGTAAGTCTTCAGAGGACGGGACTTTCATAGAATCTTACTCCACCTTGTTGAAGGGCATTGCTCTCATTCAGACTTCCTGTGATCTGTATCTCACCTAACTGGGAAAAGAAAAAAAAAAAACTGTATAAAATGATATCATTAGAGTAACATTTGTGTAGACTGTTATCACAGTCTGTGATATAAATCTACCAATAGACTGAGACCTGATCATAAAATTATGTAATGCTGGGGTGTCTGGGTGGCTCAGTGGGTTAAAGCCTCTGCCTTTGGCTCAGGTCATGATCCCAGGGTCCTGGGATCGAGCCCCACATCGGGCTCTCTGCTTAGCAGGGAGCCTGCTTCCTCCTCTCTCTCTCTCTGCCTGCCTCTTTGCCTAGTTGTGATCTCTGTCTGTCAGATAAATAAATAAAATCTTTAAAAAAAAACAACAACAACTATGTAAATGTTTACCCTACCTCACATCTTACCACTGGCCCAATAGAACTGTAGTAAAATATAGGCAGTGATAGCTGAGATGGTTGCAAGATACAGAATCTCTCTGAAGAGGAGTATTTAAAGAACCCAAAATCAAGAGAGAAGACTACAGTAAGGACTTTAGAAAAATACAAAGCCTCTGGAAACTTCAGCAAACACTGAACATAGCCCAAGTCCTACACAGGTTAACATAAATCCTCACACTAAGGGCCTATTAGTCACCAGCTCTCAAAAAGTATATATAATCATGCCGAAAGGGGAAAAGGGAAAAATAACCAATCTGAAGAGAAAGCAAGCATCATAACCATACTTAGATATGAAACAGATGTTGCAGTATTCAAGAATGTAATAAAATAATATGATTAATATGTTAAAGGATCTAATGGAGAAAGCTAATAATATGTAAGAACATAAGCAATTAAGCAGAAAGGTGGAAGCAGGAAGGAAAAAAAATCAAAAGGAAATGCAAGAAATCATAACATTTTAAGAAAAATGAAGACTGCCTTGGATGAGCTTGTAAACAGACTGCACACACAGAATCCGTGACCTTGAAGATAGGCCTATAGATAACTTCCAAATTAAAAAGCCAAGGAAGGAAAAAAATAAAAAAAAAGAAAGGAAAACTAGAACATCCAAGAACTGTAGGACAATTTCAAAAGGCATAAACTGTGTAACTGAAATACCGAAAGAAGAAAGAAGGAACAGAAAAAAAATTTTTTTGACTTAATAATGACTGAAAACTTTTCAAAAGTAAGGACAGTCATAACACCTGGCTGAAATGTAGGGCAGTGGATGCAGATTTTCGAAGAATCATTGGATAGGTCGGAGGAATCTGACAATGGAATGGAGAATGTGACAATGCAATCTAACTGTATTATAAATGAATAAAACTAACTCACAGAAGGGGGTGGGGAAAAAAGGTATGGACCTAAGTAACTTTGGACATGAGTGAAGTCCGTAAGAGCAAGACAAAAGAAAGTCTATATAAAGCACTCTACTCTAGCTTATAAAGTTGTATTCCTTGGAGGTAAAACCAATTCTAATACTGTTATACATGTATACTTGTAATTGAATAGTTTATTAACTGGATGACAGATAGAGGCCAGATTTCTCACTATTGGAATAAGACCGTAAAAATAAACAAAGGAATGAGGTTAGAATCATCCATGTGGCAATGGATTAAAGTTGCAAAGATTGTATGAAGTTATATTAGCTTGATATAGATACAAATGCTTACACGTAGAAGATTTTATAGATGTGCATATATATTTATAGGTTTGTATACATACACATATTTTCTTACAGTGTCAGCAGTGATAGCCTGGAAGTGAAGAGACCTCAGTAGCAAGTAGCATCCCACCTAGCACCCCATGTATTGTTCTCTAATAACATTCTCCAGTAAAAGGAATCCGAGTTCCATGGTGAAATGACTGATTCTAGGTCTGGGGCAGAAAATACACAAAATAAGCCTCGAGCATCTTATATGGCTAAAAAATAAAGAAGTGTTAAAAAAAAAAATCCCACCATCACAGAGGCGTGTCAAAGGACCACAGTTAATGGAGCTCCGATTGCCAAGAGCTGGAACCATTTAAGCAACATAATAAATATGGTAGTATTGAATTATAATACAAAATATAAGCTAAATACCTGTATTGATATAGATAAGTGATTGAAGAAATACAAAATTGAGGGACGCCTGAGTGGTTCAGTGGGTTAAGCCTCTTCCCTCACCTCAGGTCAAGATTCCAGGGTCCTGGGATCAAGCCCCACATTGGGCTCTCTGCCCAGCAGGGAGCCTGCTTCCCCCCTCTTTCTCTGCCTACTTGTGATCTCTCTCTCTGTCAAATAAATAAAAAAATAAAATCTTAAAAAAAAAAAGAATTACAAAATTGGAGAGACTAAATGAATTTCCCATATACAATATTTCTAAATACTTTATATAGGTACCTTGACCTCGAGGAGGTGGAATTTAATTCCTCACTCCTTAAGTGTGGTCACGCCTAGTGACTTTTTCCCAAAAGGATAGAATGAAAAGGAGGGGAAAAGACTAACTAGAGTGAAGAAACCTTACACACTTTACCTCATCTACGCGGTCAAACTTAACATCAGCAGTGACAGGTTATATGAATAATATGTGTCCTTGATAAGCTGTAATGAAAACGACACTTTCTGTCGTTGGGGAGGAAGACCTCTGTGGCCTTCCTCCCCAAACCACATAGCCTCAGTCCAAACATGAGAAAACCATCAGTCAAATCCTGACTGAGAGACATTCTCCAAATACCTGACCGACCAGTATGTTTCAAAATTGTCAAGGTCATAAAACCAAGGAAAGTCGCAACTCCAAAAGCCTTAAGAGGTGTGACAACTCAATGTAATGTAGTAACCTAGGATCCTGGAATAGAAAAGAGCAACATTACACAAAACAAAGGAAAATGAATAAAGTATAGACCAGTTAATAACAATGTGTTAATATTGCTTCAGTAATTATAACAAAGGCACAACATAAAATGTTAATAATAAACAAAACAGGTTGTGTACTATTTTGGGAATTCTTTTGTAAATCTAAACCTGTAATAAAATTTTAAAACGTTCATTTGGAAATAAAATTAAAAAAAAATGGTGAGGAAGATCTAAATAAAATGATTTTTCAAAAAATAAAAAAAAAACATTTATATTGCGCTAATCCATCAGGAGTAATATACACAGAACATTTGGGTATTTCAGAGGAACAAGAATCCAACAGCAATACTGCCATTTATGGATCATAAGACTAGAATTTTGCAAGCATTAGCTTTCTTAAATACCAAAAAATTCTGCAATATAAATACTATCATTCTGAAGAAACCCAAGTTAAATCCTTTTGGCTCTAACTTCAAGGTGTAATGGCAGTCTGTCCACTTCTGATTCCCTTTATACTGCACTGCTTTCAGTTTGGATTAATGTAGCATTCTCCTTTTTGTTTTCTTTTATCCCTTCTTTACCCCACATACTGGCCAGAACCATCTTAGAGGATCTATTATGCATCTGAGAACCATTTAAAGCCTTTATAGCTTCTAAGGTCAACAGGAATATCCCTTAACCCAATTAGAACTCTCTACACATAAAATGTTTTTCCTTCTTAAAAAAAGTCTAATTTTATCTTTCCCATATGACTATCCAATTATCCCAACACAGTTTACATAAAATAATATATCTTGCAGTCAGTGATTTGCAATGTTAACTTTACCATGTAATAATCTGGTATGTACAACTGGACTAATGTATTATTCTTTCTGTTCCATGGTCTGTGTATTCAGATACCAATACCATACAATTTTCACTATAGAGGTTTTATAGTATATTTTCATATTTGATTGGGCTAGTTTTCATTTCTTGTTTTTTTTTTCCCCCAGGAATTTCCTAGGTATTCTTACTTTTTTATTCTTTCTAAAAAAATTTCCATTTTGTTCTTCTAGCCCCAAGGAGGGAAAAAACCTTGACAGTATGTTTATTAAAATTGTGTTAAATTTATAAATTTAGGAAAAATTTTTATCTTTATGATGTTGGGTATTATGATTCAAGACTATATTTAAGTCTTCCATTTCTTCAAGGCTAGTTTATGTTCTTCATAGTATTTTATAGTATGTTAACTATATAAAATTTGAATGTTTCTTATTACGTTTATGCTTAAGTATTTTTTTTTTAAATTTTCACTATTGAAAATGGGGCTTCTCTTCCTTGGTATGTTCCTTCATGGTGATGTTTTAATCTATGAAGCAATTGATTTTTCTAACTTTATAACTCTCTGATTACCTGGATTATTTTGTTTGCATTAGTTTTCAAATGATTCAGGTTTTCAAGATGTCTAGTCATTTCACCTAGAAGCAAAAATAATTTCATCTCTTCTCATCTAGTTCTTAATGCTTTGAACAGCTTTCTTTTGGGTATTTGCACTGCCCATTACATCCACACAATATTACATAGAAATCAATGTAGTAGACATCCTTATCTTTTCCTCACTTTCTTGGCAAATGCTCTAGTGTTTCTAGATAATTAAGATGCTGATCTTTGGGCTGAAATATATACATACTCACACATATACACACTAATGATCTCACTTGAGTCAAATTCATATATCTTCCATTATATGTAATATAACTATATATATATAATGTATATATCCTATATATTGCATTTATGTATATAATTGAATGTTTTTTTAGCATGGAGTGTTCATGTTAAAGTCATTATGCATCTTGCCTTGATATACTGAGAAATAGTTGAATATTTTTAACATGAATGAGTACTGAATTTTTGTGAAATGCCTTTTCCGCATTGAAGGATGTGATCTCTATCTCTACTTGTATAACAGATTACATTAATGGATTTTCTTATTTCAAATCATCCTTGCTTTCCTGGAGTGAACCCTCCTAGAAAACGATGTGTTATTTCTGATGTACTACTTGCTGTTTGTTGGTAATTTTATTAGTTTTTTGCATTGCTATTCACACATGATACTGATTTTTCATTTTCTTTTTTAGTGCAGTCTTTGTCATAATTTTGAAATCAATGTTCTTTTCATTTTATAAAATGAATTTAGAAGATTTCCCTC